ATTCGTAATTTTACGAAATTTCGTATATTTCGAACTTTTTTAAAGGAAAATTTCGGAATTCTTTAAAAAAAACTAAACGCAAGGGCCCCCCTAAAAATGAAACGAGTTTAGAACCAAATTTTTCTGTGGTTACCCAAGCCTAATAGATAGGGATGGATTGAAATAGATAGATAGATAGATAGATAGATAGATAGATAGATAGATAGGGATGACGGATGGATGGATGGATGGATGGATGGATGGATGGATGGATGGATGGATGGATGGATGGATGGATGGATGGATGGATGGATGGATAGGTAGGTAGGTAGGTAGGTAGAGGTGAATGATGGATGGATGGATTGATGATTGAATGATGAAGCCCTAACGGGACTCCCAAAGGCCATCCAGCTCAACCCTCTTAAGCTCGATAGGGGAAGAAAACTCACATGCCATGGTCCCCGTAGTGATTGTAGAACTCCATGTGAAAATGATAGATCAATACATAGTACCTTGTCCATGTCCAGCATTATTATTTTTAATTTTAAATTATTGCATTTGGCCCAGCCATAGGTTTTAAATGCCTGTTGTTGTTATTGTTATTGTTTACTTTTGTGTATGAGATTTGTTTTAACTGTTGTATTGATTGTTTTTTATTGCTTTTACTGTTGATGTACTTTGGGCTCGGCCTCATGTAAGCCGCACCAGGTCCCTTGGGGAGATGGTAGCGGGGTATAAATAAAGTTTATTATTATTATTATATTATGATTGAACCATGAAACCCTACAAGGACCTCCAAAGGCCATCTGATCCCTCTCTCGCAACAGATGGACATCTCAACTGGAGAAGACTCACACGCTGTGGTTCCCATAGTGGTTGCAGAACTTCATGTGAAGACGATAGATAGATAGATAGATAGATAGATAGATAGATAGATAGATAGGGATGGAAAATGGATGGATGGATGGGGATTGATGATGGATGGATTGATTGATTATTGGATGGGTGGATGGATGGATGGATGGATGGATAGATAGAAAGAAAGAAAGAAAGAAAGAAAGAAAGAAAGAAAGATAGATAGGAATGGATCATTGGATGGATGGATGGATGGATGGATGGATGGATGGATGGATAGATGGATGATTGGATGGGTGGATGGATGGATGGATGGATGGATGGATGGATGGATGGATGCATGGATAGATAGATAGAGATGGATGATTGGATGGATGGATGGATAGATAGGGATGGATGGATGGATGGATAGATAGATAGATAGACAGATAGATAGATAGGAATGGATCATTGGATGGATGAATGGATAGGGATTGATGGTGGATGGATTGATAGATGATTGGATGGACGGATGGATGGATGGATGGATAGAGATGGATGATTGGATGGATGGATGGATGGATGGATGATTGGATGGATGGATGGATGGATGGATGGATGGATGGATGGATAGATAGGAATGGATCATTGGATGGATGGATGGATGGATGGATGGATGGATGGGGATTGATGATGGATGGATTGATGGATGATTGGGTGGGTGGGTGGGTGGGTGGATGGATGGATGGATGGATGGATAGAGATGGATGATTGGATAGATGGATTGATGGATGATTGGATGAGTGGATGGATGGATAGATAGATAGGGATGGATGATTGGATGGATGGATAGAGAGATAGATAGTTAGATAGAGATGGATGATGGATGGCTAGATAGACAGACAGACAGACAGACAGACAGACAGACAGACAGACAGACAGACAGACAGATAGATAGATAGATAGATAGATAGATAGATAGATAGATGATTGAATGATGAAGCCCTCATGGGATTTGCCAAGGCCACCCAGCCCAACCCTCTTAAGTTAGATAGAGGCCTCGACTCACTTGCCGTGATCCCCATAGTGGTTGTAGAACTCCATGTGGCTGCAGGCCTGGATCCAGCCGACCACCCAGGTCTCCTTGCGGGACAGGGCGGGGAGCAGGACCTGTGCGGAGGCCCGGAAGTGGGGGGTGCGGTAGCGGAGGACCACGCTGGAGGACTCGTCGATGGTGGTGGGGACCGGGTCAATGGTGGCACGCACCTCGCTCACCACGATGCTCTCCGGGAAGCCCTTGGGCTTGCAGCTGATGCTTTGGATGCAGCCCATGGCCCCCAGCAGCAGCGCGGCAGCGGCCCAGGCGGCCCAGGCCTCCTCCTCATCCGTGGGCTCAAGGGCGAGATCCATCGCGCCCCGGGCCCATGGCGGGGCAAGAGGCAAGCCCGGCCCAGGCACCGCCCGCCTCTCTCAGCGCAGCCCCGCTCCTCCGGGCTCTTCTTCTCCCCTTGCGCAGCACTCCCACGGGCTTCCCAACCATACGACTGGGACAACCAATAGGGACATCCAAGGCACCCCAAGGCAGAGTCGGGCGGGAGGTATCTCTCTCGGTCCGTGCGGGCGGCAACGACAACAACTCCTCCGCGAAAGGCAGGCGGTTCCGCTGCAAGACTTCCAGTCACTTCTCCTTGGAGAAAAAGATACAGTAAGGCGATTCATATTAATAGTAGTCGTCACAATAAATAATAATAATGTTAAATAATAATAATACTAAATAATATTAATACTAAATAATGATAGTCACAATAAATAATAATAATATTAAATAATAGTCACAACAAGTAATAATTAATAATAATACTTAATAATAAGAAGAAATATTAGTAATACTAAATAATAATAATAATAGTCACAATAAATAAATTAATAATAATACTTATAATAAGAAATGACAGTAATACTAATAATAATAATCACAATAAATAATAAGAAATAATGTTTTTAATAATAATAAGACACAATAAATAATAGTAATACTAAACGATAATAATAATGGTCACAATAAATAATAATTCCAAATAATAATAATACTAATTAATACAATAATAATAAGAATAAAGAATAATAATGCTGAAGAATATCACTAAATAATAATAGTAAGTCACATTAAAAATAATAATAAACAACAATAATAAACAATACTATTGCTAATTAATCCTAAATAGTAATAAGAGTCACAATAAATAATAATACTAAATAATAATACTAATAGCACTAATACTAAATAATACAATAAATAATAAGAATAAAGAATAATAATACTAAAGAATAACAATACTTAGTAGTAATTGTCACTACTTAATCAATACTTGTCACTACTTAATCAATACTTAATAATAGTAATAGTCACAATAAATAATAATAATAATAAACAATAATAAATAATAATACTGCTAATAATACTAAATAATAATAATGTCACAAAAATAATAACAATAATACTAAACAATAATAATACTAAATAATACCAAATATAATACTCAATAATACTAATACTTTATAGTAATAGTCACACTAAATAATAATTCTAAATAATGACAATACTAACCAATAATGCTAAAGAATACTAAATAATAATACTAAATAATAATGTCACCATTAGTAATGCTACTAAATAATAATCCTAAATAAATAAATAACAATCATCATCATCATTACTAAACAATAATACATAATAATAAATAATAATAATAAATACAAAATAATAATAATAATACTAAATAATAATAATAAATGTTCACCATAATAATAAAATAATAATCTTACTAAATAATAATAAATACAAAATAATACTAAATAATAATTAAAAATGTTCACCATAATAATAAAATAACACTCTTACTAAATAATAATAAAAATGCTAAATAATAATAATAAATATTCACAGTAATAATATACTAATTCATAACCATAAGTACCAAATAATAATAATAAATAAATATACACAATAATAAAACCATAATCTTACTGAATAATAATAAGAATGATAATAAATACTAAATTATTATTATTATTAAATAACAATAATCCTAATCATACATTCAAATTTCTTTTAAAAGGGAACAGAATACAACACTGAAGGCCAGAATTCTGTATGTCACTCATATACCTACTTTTGTCCTCAATTCACACCTTTGAAAAAGTCTGTTTTTTCCCCAGAAAAACAAACCCCGGTAAATAAAACAGTGCAATACATAATACATCAAGAGAGCTTTGCCGCTGCATCAAGTTTGGCCTCTTTTGCACTCGAGACCAGAAGCAAAAAAGGGGAAACGTGTCCTGTCAACTGGGTTCCCCTCCCTTCCGTTTGGGGAGATGGGTGCCCCCCGAAAATGCACCAAAATCAATGTATTTTTCCAAATGCAGGTCCTTCCAGACCTGGATCTGGGGCCAAAGGAAGCCCAAGGGGGACCCTTCCCAAGTGACTTGCCTGAGTCTCTCTAGCCTTGGAAGGAGCCTTGAAGGCACTCAGACCTCGGCCGCCTTTGCGCTGATGCTTCCGCCCCCCTTTCATGGGAACACAGAGACTTCCTTCCTTCTTCCTCCAGAAACCCTAACATGACACACGCCATGGGCTGCTGCCCGGCCGCCAAAGGAATCCTCTTTTTGGCTTCCCATTCATTCATGAGCCTTTGCATCCTGCCTGAGTGACACCAGGCAAGAATAATAATAATAATAATAATAATAATAATAATAATAATAATAATGCGATTCAATACAAAAGCCAGCAGAGTGATCTTGCACTGATCTTGTTGTGTCTATAATAATAATAATAATAATAATAATAATAATAATAATAATAAATCTTTGAATCCGGCTTAAGACCATGCACCAATAATAATAATAATAATAATAATAATAATAATAATAATAATAATACGATCCAATACAAAAGCCAGCAGAGTGATCTTGTTTGCTGGGCAATGATCTTGTTGTGTCTATAATAATAATAATAATAATAATTATTATTATTATTATTATTATTATAAATCTGATAATAATAATACATCTTTGAATCCTGCTTGAGACCACATACCAATAATAATAATAATAATAATAATAATAATAATAAATCTGATGATAGTAATAATAATAATAAATCTTTGAATCCTGCCTGAGACTATGCACCAATAATAATAATAAAGATGTTAATAATAATAAATATTTGAATCCTTCCTGAGACCACGCACCAATAATAATAATAATACTAAATCTAATAATAATAATAGTAATAAATCTTTGAATCCCGCCAGAGACTATGCACCAATAATAATAATAACAATAATAAATCTGATAATAATAATAATAATAAATCTTTGAATCCTGCCTGAGACCATGCACCGATAATAATAATAATAATAATAATAATAATAATAATAATAATAAATCTTTGAATCCTGCCTGAGACCATGCACCAATAATAAATAATAATTTAATGCCTCTTCCTTTCCCATCTGGGTATTAAAATACTAATACTAATAATATCATCATCTCCATATTCCTTTCTGTTCAATAATAATAATAATAATAATAATAAATCTTTGAATCCTGCCTGAGACCACGCACCAATAATAATAATAATAATAATAATAATTTTTGAATCCTGCCTGAGACTATGCACCAATAATAATAATAAATCTGTTAATAATAATAAATCTTTGAATCCTTCCTGAGACCATGCACCAATAATAATAATAATAATAATAATAATAATAAATCTAACTATAATAATAGTAATAAATCTTTAAATCCCGCCAGAGACTATGCACCAATAATAATAATAACAATAATAAATCTGATAATAATAATAATAAATCTTTGAATCCTGCCTGAGACCATGTACCAATAATAATAATAACAATAATAAATCTGATGATAATAATAATAATAATAAATCTTTGAATCTTGTCTGAGACCATGTACCAATAATAATAATAATAATAAATCTGATGATGATAATAATAATAGTAATAAATCTTTGAATCCTGCCTGAGACCACGCACCAATAATAATAATAATAATAAATATTTGAATCCTGCCAGAGACCACACACCAATAATAATAATAAATCTAACTATGATAATAGTAATAAATCTTTGAATCCTGCCTGAGACCATGCACCAATAATAAATAATAATAATTTAATGCCTCTTCCTTTCCCATCTCAGTATTAAAATACTAATACTAATAATATCATCATCGCCATATTTCTTTCTGTTCAATAATAATAATAATAATAATAATTTCATCTCCCTTTCTCACCCAACTGCTGCGATACATAAGAACATATGGCTGCTATGTTGAGACACAAAGGAACAGAAGAGATACATAGGGACAAAGTCCCATGTTCCTATGACTTTATTCCTATGTTGAGATCCATAGAAACCAAAGGGATACATCAGAACTTAGGAGCAAAGTCTTGTGTTCCTATCACTCCTATATTATGTTGAGGTACATAAGAACATATGACTCTATGTTGAGATCCATAGGAACAAAGTCTGATGTTCCTGTGACATTATAAAGTCCTGTGACTTCATTCCTGTGCTAATATGACTTCTATGTGGAGATCCATAGCACCAAAACCCAATGTTTCTATGACAAATAGCTATGATAAGGAAACTAACTGTTTTGAGTTGCTTTCCCAGCATGTGTTTTTATCTCAAGAGTCTATGTTGGCTATTTGTGAAAGAATAAGAGACATAAATGGGCAAATATTTGAAATAAAGACTCTGCTACAATCCCTTATGAGCCAGACTAAGTTTCGGCAGGACCTTCCTTTAGCAAACCATACAGCTAAGGACGAACGAGTGAAACCTGCAAAGGAAGCCAACACAATTCAACCTAGAAGAGAAGCCTCCTCTCTGTAGAAGAGCCCATTGCAACTTAACAACAAACAGCTGGGATTTCATATAGAAGATACACGCTTAAACTGGGGTAAATGGAGCAGTAAAAATAGGATTCTGACATCTCTTAGCAGCATCCGACAGAGATTTCGCCCAGCTTTCTGTGTGCCCAGGGGAGAGTCTCTCATTTGGTATCAGCCATTGATTGAGGTTTTGGGTTTGAGCCTGCCACTTTTGGACTCTCGCTTGCTGGGGTGTTCCAGCAAGTAGATCTTAGACAACTATTTCTTGATGTAAGTCGTTGACATGCTGGCTGATACCCAAACAAGGGATGAGCTGGAGATGTCTCTTCCTTGGTCCTTTCACTATTGGCTGCCACTTCCCGGCGGATGTCAGGTGGTGCAATACTGGATAGACCAGTGGTTCTCAACCTTCCTAATGCCACGACCCCTTAATACGCCTCCTCATGTTATGGTGACCCCCAATCATAATATTATTCTCGTTGTGACCATAATCATCCAAAATCACCGATAACAAGAACCGAAGAACAGATGAAAATAAATGTGGAGTGCAACCAAGAGCTGATGCCGGAGACGACCTCAGACTCAGCTCAATGGGAAGGAAGGCCCTCTCGTCCTTAGGTTCAACTCACAGAATCCTCCACCCTCGAACAAAGAGCAAGGGAAAGGAAAAGGACTTTGGGCAAAATGATTCAAGGTATCAAAGACATAAAAGATATGGACACTCTGCCATCCGGAAAGAGGAAACGATCAGATCAGAGTCT